CTCGTTTTGTTGTTTCTTATATGTTTGAATTTTGTTACTTACTTTGAGCTTTTGGAAGACAGGCTGAGCTATATTTATGCACTTACACGAAATTACTAATCTTGGACTTTTTAATGCACCCTGAGGTCTGCTTTGCCCTTTTCTGTTAATACGGAGCTGACACTTTTCTGTGGCATTTTTCCTTTTAGTCATTTTTATCTTTTCACCTTCTTCCTTTTGATTCTTGAGAAAGTCTGTTGGCTAGTTCTGTGGCAAAAATGACACTAATGTATATGATCACAACTGCCAGAATGACGTACGCTCAAAGTTGGAAGCAAGATAAAGTCCCGGAGATTGGATTAAAAAACTACTTTTTATGGTTGAAATGGATAAGATGACAAGAAAACTTAACAATATGGAAGCAGAAGACTTTGTAGCAGATTGGAAAGATTTAAAAGACTATTTGGAGAAGAATTGGGATGTGAGAGACAACTTATTTTGCTTTAATAACTACTGAACGTTAAACTTTAACAACATGGAATAAGAAATAGAGAAATTTATATATGAAGAGATTAGTTACCTATTGTGAACTTGTAATGATAAAGGGAAGGAAGAACGAATTTAAGAATTTTGCAGGAGGTTGTAGCACTGTGGGAAGCCATGTGGGGTGGGGGAGGATGAAAAATGTATTATAGATGTTGATTTTGAGTGATGACATCCTAAATAAAAAATTGTTAAAAAAAAAAAAAAGAGAGTCTGTTGGCTAGTTCTGACCCATGCATGTTGCCTGTACTTGTGGCCCGTATTGCTCTTTTGGGAACACTGGAGACGGTGGAAAATACTGCCCAGGCTCCATCACAGTTGTCTTGCACTGAAGGAGTCTGTTGGCTAGTTCTGACCCATGCATGTTGCCTGTACTTGTGGCCCGTATTGCTCTTTTGGGAACACTGGAGACAATGGAAAATGCTGCCCAGGCTCCATCACAGTTGCCTTGCGCTGAAGGCGAAGTTCTTTTTGCCTCCGCAGTGGGGATGTCCAGTTGGCTTCTGTGCAAGTTTTCTGTTTTTTACCAGGGATGTTGGAAGGCAAATGAGAGGGAGCTCTTTGGATTCCTGCAGGGAGGCGCTGCTCTGAAGCAACAGTGTGTTATACTAGTGCCCCCTGGTGGCTGATTTGAGTGATCACAAGAAAATACCCTGCACTCCAGTCAACAAATCCTGTGCTTTAAAACACACACACACACACAAACAAAACGTTGTGCTCTTCACCCTTTCCAGACTCAGAACCAGCCTTTAACCTCAGTTTGCAATGTGGAGCCCACTTTTAAATGTTTTGTTGTATGTCTTTCTCCCTCTTCCTTCTTTCTGCCCCTCCCCCAACTGCCTCCTCCTCCTCCTGCTGTTTCCCTTTTCTCAGATTAAATAAAATGGTTTGGCTGCCAGTGGTCACAATCCAGCAGTTGGAAGATTTTGCCTAGTCATGGAGAGGAATGAGAGTTTATAAAATAGCCAACCCATCGCTAACAGTATTCCTCTGCAATGAATGGATGCAGGGGCAAATGGGTACATGCTAAGTTGCATGCAGTTCATGTAGATGAGTTGTGAGTCTAATAGGCCTACCCTGTTTAGGTTGTATAAGAACTTAGTGTAAGCCTTAGAACATACACACACACAGGCACAGAAGTTCTCAGGATCATACAAGAATCTTCTTCCAGACAAGCAGATGCCTTAAATGTTCCCTGAAGGCAAGAGAATTTGAAAAACATTGAGCTAGTATCCAAACCTAGGCCTTTGTAGAGGCTTCCTGTGGTGCCTATAATATGAAGAGGCCATTAGAACATGCTGCCTTTACTGAAAATAATCATCAAGCATGCCTGTCCCCCGAGATTTCCCCACAAGCCTTCTTTCGTGCCCAAAGGAAGTACTTCTTCACCCAAAGAGTGATTAACATATGGAATTCACTGCCACATGAGGTGGTGGTGGCGACAAGCATGGACAGCTTCTGGATAAACATATGCAGCAGAGGCCCATCAGTGGCTATTAGCCACAAGGTATAGATAGGTAGTCACAGGCTGGGGCAGGTGATGCACTGTATTCTTGGTGCTTCGGGGGGAGGACAGTGGGAGGGCTTCTAGTGTCCTGGCCCCACTCCTGGACCTCCTGATGGCACCTGGTATTCTTGGCCACTATGTGACAGAGTGTTGGACTGGATGGGCCATTGGCCTGATCCAACATTGACTTCTCTTGTGTTCTTATTAAGTCTTGCCTCAGATTGAATTGCAGTTCATTCTCTTTCACATTATGGACCCACATCAACAGTGTGTCAGGAACTGAAGCCATGGTCTTGTTTTAAAGTTCAGGACTGTTTTTCAGCGAGTGCTGCATGTCACATTTGTCTGATCAGATTGCCTAAGGTGTGAGAATCTGTCCCATCAGTTCTTGTATGTTTTCAAGACAGCTGTCTGAGCTAAGCTTTCTTTGTCGCTCTTGTTTTCCACCAGGAAGGTGACATGGAAGGAGAAGCAGTTGAAGCTATTGGTGAGGAGTCTGAAACATTCATTAAAAGCAAAGAAAGGAAGACCTATCAAAGGCGCCGGGAGGGTGGGCAGGAAGAGGATGCTTGCCCAATGCCGCCCAACCAGGCAGATGGGACTGAAGTGGTGCAGGATGTCACTGCTGGCGTCCAGATGGTAATGATGGAGCAGCTAGATCCAACGCTGCTTCAGATGAAAACTGAAGTCATGGAGGGCACTGTGCATCAGGACGCCGAGGCGACTGTGGATGACACCCAAATAATAACTCTTCAGGTTGTCAACATGGAAGAGCAGCCTATAAATCTTGGAGAGCTACAGCTTGTCCAGGTGCCTGTCCCAGTCTCTGTACCTGTTGCTACCACTTCTGTGGAAGAACTTCAGGGGGCATACGAGAATGAGGTCTCCAAAGGAGGCCTGCAGGAGGGGGAGCCCATGATCTGCCACACCCTCCCGTTGCCAGAAGGCTTCCAAGTGGTAAAAGTTGGTGCAAATGGTGAGGTGGAGACACTGGAACAAGGTGAACTTCAGCCACAGGAAGACCCTAACTGGCAAAAGGACCCGGACTATCAGCCCCCAGCCAAAAAGACAAAGAAAACCAAAAAGAGCAAACTCCGTTACACTGAGGAGGGAAAAGACGTGGACGTCTCTGTATATGATTTTGAAGAGGAGCAGCAAGAGGGCCTGCTCTCAGAGGTCAATGCAGAGAAGGTGGTGGGCAACATGAAGCCCCCTAAGCCAACAAAAATTAAAAAGAAAGGTAAGCGATGCATTTGCAATTGGGGTTGGACATGGAGCACACTAAGCATTAATGGATCTATAAGAAAGCGCCTCAGTAGTCTAAACACATCCCGGGTTCATTTTGAAAGGCTGTTCTGCTGTTCGGTGATGCCATAGTTGGGGCCTGCAGGGGGTCAGAGAGCATATTCGTCTCCCCTCCCCCCTCCCCAAAGAATCAGATGCTGCCATATATGGGGAGTAAGATAAAGGGGTGACTGGTGGGTTTTCATGGCTTCAACTTGGGTTGCCAGGGTGGAGTCTGGAAGGAATTTTCCTCTGGCTTGTTGTAGCTGGCTGTCCTGGTTGGGGACATGCCTTCTGCGGTGAGCATGACATAGTTAGCTCGCTTGGTCCGCTTGGATTAGTTCAGCGAAAATTGTGCTTGGCTCAGTCGGATGTGGTACACCATGCTCTCTTTGCTTAAACACTTTTAAGATGGGGGGGAGGGGAGCGTGAAGACAGCTGTGCCTTGGAGTAGGGGTTTGTAGGATAGAGGGCATCAGTGTTACTCATAGTCATATGCACTGGTCTGTATGGATGGGCTACCATTAAAGACTGACTTTCTGTATAGGAGTGAAGAAGACATTCCAGTGTGAACTGTGCAGTTATACCTGTCCACGCCGTTCTAATCTGGATCGCCACATGAAAAGCCACACCGATGAGAGGCCGCATAAATGCCACCTCTGTGGTAGAGCCCTACGGACGGTCACACTGCTGAGAAACCATCTCAACACTCACACAGGTACCATTCGGATGACATTAGTAACCCCCGAGCCAGTGTTTGTTTTGCATGATCTACCCTTATACGTTCACTCAATTCCATGCCAATAATCTGCTACTGGTCCTAGGTTCTGATATCACTGGAGGATTTGAGTGGCTTTCTTTTTGTTTGTTTTTGGGGGGCGGTAAATTTTAAACTAGATATCAGGGTTGGAACTGGGTAAGAAAAGTTGGGAAAAGAAGTATAATTGAGGCTAAAGGGGGAGAGTCTTGGTTTTTTTCTTTCTGCGCAGCCTTTCTCTGACCACAGTAGATCCTCCAACCAGTCCTTGTGGCCATAAAGCAATGTGCCTTTTTTTGTCCATGAGAGCTATAAACTTAGTAGTCAAACCCTAAAAATCATCTGGATTCTTTATAGCTTTCATAGTCTATGATAAGAAGCATATAACCTCTGAGGATATAGGTGCATAATGAAAACAAAAGTGCCACACTGGGGTGGGCGGGATAGATGTGTCAGGGAGCTATAGAAAACCTTTTCCTTAACTGCATTTTAGGACCTTGGGCACGCTGGCTTTTGTTTTTAATTTTCTTTTGTCAGGGGATGTTTTTTTAAAACCCGGGTTCTCGTTGCTCTTCCAAGTTCTGATGGGGCCGTGCCATCCAAACGAAGCCTGGCTGCTCAGGCTGTTTTTAATGCCACTTTCTGGGCCCACTCAGGTACTCGTCCTCACAAGTGCCCCGACTGCGACATGGCCTTTGTGACGAGTGGAGAGTTGGTTCGGCACCGCCGCTACAAACACACCCACGAGAAGCCATTCAAGTGTTCCATGTGCGACTACGCCAGTGTGGAGGTGTGTCTGACTATTTCTTTCTCCTAGTACTTTCGTCCTGTGCCTTAATCCTTCTACTGGAAGCTTGGGGGGGGGGATGGACACTTGCACATAATTAACTGTGTTTCTTATTGTTTCCGGATCTTAATAAAATATGTTGTGGGAATCTAAATCAGCTGATTGCTGCAGGTGGGCATCTTCTCAGAAACATGTCGGTTATACATGAAACTTCATTTATTGTTCCCTGTGGCTGTTTTCTTTGCACGGAGGTGTCATTGGGGCAAGCCCTCTTCGTCTCAGGCGGCCTGTCTGCTTCTGGGGAGTAGGGGTCATCATAGCATAGTTCCCCTCCTTCTCTAACAGTCTAGCTGACTGTTAGCTTCTCTGAGAAGCAGCAAGCCACCATTTCATTCATTCATTTTGCAGGAATGGGTGGCCAGCATTTTAAAATTTATAAATTTTTGCAATGAAATTGCCTGTGGGGAGTTTAGTGTGTTGGGACTGCAGTCACACACACTAAATAATCCGTTTTCAATCCACTTTGAATGCACTTTCGAATTGGATTTTGCCAGTTCTCACAGTAAAAATCCAGTTGGAAAGTGCATTGAAAGTGGATTATTTAGTGTGTGTGACCACAGCCTGGGTGTTGGGAGGAGGCGTCCAAGGTGACTGTGTTGTTGTTGCATCTGGCTTCTCTCTGTGCATAGATTCATTTGAAGGCTGGCTGTAATTAATATTATTGGGTTAGTGATGATGCTCTTGAGCTGCTTAAAGGTAGGTATGGAGGAAGAAAAATGCTTTTGTAGTTAAGCCAGTTTGGGGTAGTGGTTAAGTGTGTGGACTCTACTCTGGGAGAACCGGGTTTGATTCCCCACACCTCCACTTGCAGCTGCTGGATGACCTTGGGCAAGCCATAGTTTTGGCACAGCTGTTCTTGAAAAAGAGCAGTTTCTGTCCGAGCTCTCTCAGCCCCACCTACCTCACAAGGTGGTTGTTGTGTGGAGGGGAAGTGAAAGGAGTTTGTAAGCCGCTCTGAGACTCCCTTGGGTAGTGAAGGGCAGGGTAGAAATCCAATCTCTTCTCTTCTAAGTGAAGCTGCAGTATTGGTAGGTTCAAAAGAACCATTCAACCGGTTCTGTGCACCAAAAGAGCTTTGGACAGCGCTTCCCAAATTGTCCGCCTCTGTCACAAATCAGACCTGTAGAGAAAGTTTAGAAGCACGGTTCTTTTAATTTTTACAACTTCTAACACAATGTCGTCACAAGTTTTGCCATTTAATGTAACATCTACCCTCCTTGCTCCAACACCTGTTTGTCTCCACTTTTGTTTACATTGGAAATGCCACTGGCAGCACGGTCTGGTATGGTTACTCCAGTCTAAGCCATTGATGTCAGTGGGTTTAGGCTAGAGTAGCTGTGTACAGGATTGCACTGTAAATGTGTGTTCTGGGTCATAACACTTCAAAGAAGCACTTTTTCTAAACAGTATTTCTCATACGTGGCCTTGTTTAACATGTGGTGGAATATTCCCTTGAATTTCCTCCAAAAAAAGAAGTGGGGGGGGGGGGGGGGGGGGGGGGGGGGGGAGATTACTGCTTTCCGCCCCTTTTCCATCCAAAAAGTGATATAAACATTTAGACCTACCTGAAGCAGCTCTTGTGGTTTCGTCGAATGTGTTAGCATCACAGTCGTTCTTGCCTCCTCCCTGTCCCACCTTACAATGCAAGGAACGTACTGGGGGGGCGGGTAATAGCACTCCTTTGGGGAGGGAGGTATATAAATCTAATAAAATAAAGAAATAACTAAAATGTAATTACTGGAAATTCCCTCTGCAGAGCTGCCTTGATTTTCATGCCACTAACCCCATTTGCGTTCTTGGGCTTCAGGTCAGCAAGTTGAAACGTCACATTCGCTCTCACACCGGAGAGCGTCCATTCCAGTGCAGCTTGTGCAGCTATGCCAGCAGGGACACTTACAAACTGAAGAGGCACATGAGAACTCATTCTGGTACGGATGGTGCTCTGGTGATGTCAACACAGAGGCCCATGGACACTGCAGCTTCAGCATTCTCTGGTCCTTAGATGTGTAAAATCCATGCCCCATCTGCTTAAAAAAAATAATCAGGAGAGCAAGCACCTGTTTGAATGTTTCAGTGGCAAGTGAGATCGCTTACAGAAACCTTGTCAACCCTTTGCTCTCACACATGGCCCTGTTTTTCACAAACTGTGACAAAGTACCATGTGACCTTTAGTGCGGCGCCAGAATTGGAAGCTACCTGACAACAAATTCCAACCGGTCTCTGACGATGGGGTGCTTGTAATTGGATGGGCCATTTTTGCTCATAATGGAGCAGACCCTGATCATTGTGGCATCCAGCATGCAGTGCTTGGCAAGCGTTACTTCCCTCTCTCAACTCTGTCATCCCAATCTATTGGCTTTGATTGGGGGGGGGAGCTCTCTAAGCACTGCCCCATCCCATCACTTGATTCATTTTCTGTGAACATCTCAGATTTACTTTCTCTCTCTCTGTCTCCTGAAAGGTGAGAAGCCCTACGAGTGTTACATTTGCCATGCTCGCTTCACCCAGAGCGGAACGATGAAGATGCACATCCTACAGAAGCACACAGAGAATGTGGCCAAGTTTCACTGCCCTCACTGTGACACAGTCATTGCACGGAAGAGTGACCTGGGTAAGCACTCTCTGTCACGAGGCTGGAGGAGATATGGCGATTGGCTTAAGGCCTCTGCTTTTGAGAAATGCCCTTCAGATGAGTGGATGGGTGGGGTGATGGCCCAGGGCATGGTCGGAAGACACGGGACGGAGGCTGGCAGCCAAAGGTAAGCCTCCCTGTAAACTGCCTGAGTGGAAAACCTCTGGGAAGCAGTTGAGTTCTCTGGAGGTAGAGTTAGGGTATGAGGGTCATCCTGGCCACTGTTGTGTTGTATTTCCTTTTATGGTTTGATTCCCCCTCCCCCAATTAATCACAAGGGCTAAAAGCCTCCTTTTGAAAGCAGAAGCCTAAAATACAGGAAGCGTTTCCAATACTGCACTAGTTATCAGATTGTGCCGGGTTGTCAGTGCAATAATGATGTAGACCTTTTTAAAGTCCCATCCTATCCTGAAGGCTAATAAAATGCTGATGAAAGAACGTGTGCAGAATATTTGAAATCTAAAATACCGTTGACTAAAATGTTTGTTTTAGCTTTACCCAGACAGTATTTGCTGGCTCAGCTGAACTTTAATATAGTCTCTGGAGAACGTGTGAGCGATTTCCATACTCCACAGGCTAGGCAGCAAGAGCCGATCGTTAGATGTGCTTTATTTCTCTTGCCAGGCGTCCACTTGCGGAAACAGCATTCCTATATTGAGCAGGGCAAGAAGTGTCGTTACTGCGATGCTGTGTTCCATGAGCGATACGCCCTCATCCAGCACCAGAAGTCCCACAAGAACGAGAAGCGCTTCAAGTGTGACCAGTGTGATTACGCGTGTCGACAGGTGAGGCCATGTGAACACTTCAGAGTGTGAGCTTTAATTTTACCAGGTGTGGTATGTAGGAAATTTTACTGGTCTGCTCAAAACAACTGAATAGGACTGTATGCCCTAGTCTAATAATGGAGGTCGCTGTTAACCATGGACGTTTCTTGGTTTCTTCTAGGAACGGCACATGATCATGCATAAGCGAACCCACACTGGAGAAAAGCCTTACGCCTGTAGCCATTGTGATAAAACCTTCCGTCAGAAGCAGCTGCTTGACATGCATTTCAAGCGCTACCATGACCCGAACTTCGTCCCAGCTGCCTTTGTCTGCTCCAAGTGTGGCAAAACATTCACACGCCGTGTAAGTGGTCAGGCCGCATTCAGGGTGGGGTTGTTGTATGGAACCGTAAGCGAGAGGTGACTGCAAGAGATTATCAGGCATCGCCCCACAGAGATGTACATTTTTGCTTGAAGGGATATTGCTCTGGAATGGAGAAAGCCAGCTCCAAAAGATATTTTGCGGGATTGATTATTCCTTTCAAAATAGAAATCGTTAGGGGGAGATACTATCCTCTGTTCTCTCTGTCTGAACTCTGTTTTGGCCCCTGTAAAATTTTGGGACATTGAGGGGGACATGAAAGAGATTTGTAAAATTATGCATGTGGCAGAGAGAGTGGAGAGAGATACTTTTTTCCCTCTCCCAAAATACTAGAGGGCCCCCAGTGAAGTCGAGGGGCAGTAGATTCAGGACAGACAAAGGGGAGTACTTGTTTACTCAGTGAGTGATTAAAATATGGCATCACTGCCAGAGGATGCTGTGATAGCTACAAGCATAGATGGCTTGAAAAGGGGGATTAGATAAATTCATTGAGGATAGATCCATTAGTGGCTACCAGCTCTGGTGACTAAAGCGAACCTCTACAATAAGGCCTTCACTGTGTGAATACCAGTGGGGTGACTAAAGCGAACCTCTACAATAAGGCATTCAGTGTGTGAATACCAGTGGTAGGAAGTCACATCGGGGAAGGCCTCAGCCTCTGTGCCCTGTTTGTTGGCCCTCCCTTCAGGGCAGCCCCTTGGCCACTGTGTGATACAAGATGCTGGGCTAGATGGACCTCTGGTCTGATCCAGTGAGACTTTTCTTACGCCACTGTGTGATACAAGATGCTGGGCTAGCTGGACCCCTGGTCTGATCCAGTGAGACTTTTCTTATGTTGTTGTGGCTTATATTGGACATCAGAACTTCTATGCTTTGCACTGCAAGAAGAGGCCACAGCATACTCTTAGGGTGATGAAATGGTAAAATCAAGACATGTGAGAGATGTATTTCCAGGTTTGCCTGTGCATTTCGACTGGAGAAGTTTTTCAAGGAAACCACTGAATTTAGAGAAAAACAATAGTGGGCTCTCGTTTAATTCCCTTCAGTTTGACCTTGTGAATAAATGAAACTGTTGAAAAGGCACAGTAATTGTATTCAGGTTTGCCAGTCATAAAGAACCTGTTTACTCTGTGCTTGGCTACCTTGCATTGATCCCCAGAAAGTGTTTTGGAAGTGGTCTGCCTTCGTATCGCATAGTTCCTGGGGTGTGTACCCTCTGCACCTGAGGCAGAATCGCTTAAGGAAAAGACGTGCCCCTTGCTCAACATTACAGCCAGCCCCCTGTGCTGGGGCTTGGCCTCTACGTTGGCAAATAATGCTCTTGCTCTTTTTGAGGGGCAAAATCTGGTAGGATCAGAGGGTGGGTTCTGGCGACTTCTAACACTTGCCTTCCTTTATTGGGTTAGAACACCATGGCCCGACATGCAGATAATTGCACAGGGCCCGATGGGGTAGAAGGAGAGAATGGAGGTGAGCCCAAGAAGGGGAAGCGTGGGCGAAAGAGAAAGATGCGCTCCAAGAAAGAGGACTCCTCCGATAGTGGTAAGGATCCAGCTGTCTCCCAAAGAGCCTTGCTCATATTACTGCATCCATATTCAGCCTTTAGATCAGAACGCCTAATTTGCCAGTGGCCAGCCCTCTGCTGTTGGCTGAGCTCTCCTTCCAGCCTGTTAAGATTCTTGGCTCAGAAGAATCTTGCCATTGGACATATTACAGCATGCCAGAATGCTGGGTCTTGTCCAGTGGATAGTTAAATGAATTATAGCCACACAAGAGATTATTGGTTAAAAGAAAAGTCAAGGATCAAGTCGGTGCTGGAGCTGGTAGGGTTTCACCTGTTGCATCTGTGAGCCCCTCTCAGGGCTATCTGGATAAATGGAGCCTTCTCAGTTTTCTAGTAACAGTGTTGGGGACCTTCAGGCAAGGCCTTTTGACTTACAGCATTTTAGGGTCTGGCTACCCTGTGAATTCCAACCTTGGCGTAGTGCACCTTGTTGTGCCTGGCCTGCAGGTTATTTTAGCTTGCTTGTCAAGTGTAGCTGATGTGATTTTCTGGTGTGTTGTTTTGAAGAGGGAAACCTCCATGGGGTCTGCACAAGTTGCTGCCCACTTTGGAAGGGGGAAACCTCCATGGGGTCTGCACAAGTTGCTGCCCACTTTGGAAGGGGCCCAGTCTCACGGGTGGCAGGCCCCGATGGAGGAGGAGGGCAGGGCTTGGGGAATCCACAGAAATGTTCACTCAATGTGAAAAGTCAGCAAGGTGTTACAAGGTTGAGAGCCGCTGACCCACTATATAGCTATTGAGTGGGCCTATGCAGGAGGGCGGTTGGTGAGGCTTTATATGAACCAGTGATGGCAGGGGCAGGAAAGGTAACCTGCAGGATGGTGGAAAGTCTGACATAGTGCTCTAACCAAGGCACGTTAGTGTACGTCTGAGCACTTGATCGCTTTGGGGCTGGATTCTGGCTGGTAGGTGGGGAGTGGCAAAGACCACATACAGAATGTGCCAGGAGTCTGTTGAAGTCAGGGCTGATTTTGCACTTCTGGAAGATCCTGTGAACCACATGCTGGAAGCAGTGACGTTCACAGGGAAGCCATTAATATGAGTACGTATAGCTCAAGATCCCACTAGTTGTGGCACGGCTGAGGAAGCACTTTAGCTACTTCCTTAACATAAAACGGTGCCGTATTCACCAAAACATGTGTGCCAGGTGACTTCTTGCTCTCCCCCGTTCCGTTGGAAGATGTGCGGAAGACCCAGAAGAAAGCTTCATTGTGCTGGGATTCTTAGCTGGTTGGGATCTCTTCCTCCATTGTAAAGTTGGCCCCAAAGTTCTGGGTTTAATCAGGAATGCATTAAACCCAAGGTATTGATCCTGCTCCAGGGGAGCATTCGTGCTGTTCTCATTTTGTCAATTACATTGATGCTTGCCCTGATACTATTTTTCTTTGGTCGTTTCCTTATCTTGAAGAGGAAAATGCAGAGCCAGAGTTGGACGATAATGAAGAGGAGGAAGAGACGGCAGTTGAAATAGTGGCTGAGCCAGAAGTAGAACCTGTGGCCCCAGCACCCCCACCAGCAAAGAAACGAAGAGGAAGGCCGCCCGGCAAAGCCAACCAACCAAAACAGCCCCAGCGTAAGTTCTGGGATGTTAGAGAGAGGGGGAAAGCTGCCAAAAGTTGAATGCTTTGTTAGGAGTAAAGGGTTTGGCAGTGGTGCCTAGTGATAACAAGAGGGAAGTAGATCCAGAGGAGTTAGCCGTGTTAGTCTGTTGCTGCAAAATAGTAAAAAGCTCAGTAACACTTTTAAGACCAACAAACTTTATTGTAGCATAAGCTTTTGAAAAACACAGCTCTCTTTGTCAGATGCATGGAATGCGCATTCAACCTTTTTCATGACTTTTGCAACTGCTTTGCATTTACATCATGGCACTTTCTGCATCCTTTCCCCCCTCCCCTTACCTATATCTCTGGCCACTTTCTTCATATCCTCCATGCATCTGACAAAAAGAGCTGTGTTTCTCAAAAGCCTATGCGACAATAAAGTGTGTTAGTCTTAAAGAGGGAAGTAGACAGAGAAATGAAGGCAGGAAAGATGGGTGGAGACTAGCATGACCTGGAGATCGTGGCAAAAGGTTGGTTCTCCTAAGCAAGGGACAGACGTCATTCCTGAAAGCTGGAGTCATCATCATCTGCCGCCTCTGTGCTTTGAAACAGATTTTAATTCTTCTCACCCATCACTCCCTTCAGCACGTTTCTAGCTCACTATGGGAGTGGATGTATTTTGGATCCACTGAGGCTCTTGGAAATGTATACTGGATACTAGATTCTGTGGCTTACTTCAAGCATCACAGGCAAATAGGAGTTTGTGATGATCACAAACCCAGTTATCAGGCTTGTACATCCTCTCCCCCTCTCCTCTGGAGCTTATCAAGATTGAAGACTGTAATCTTCAACTGCGTCGAATTAGTTGTAACTTTTGAACATGTGCACTTAAAGTGCCCATATTTGGACGTTATGCTTAATTGGAGACTGCAGTTGCCGTCTTGGCACATTGCAGAAGAACAGGAGAGAAGCGGAATGTGAGCCTGGTAAATAATTCTGATTTTGTCATGATGTTTGGACTGAACCTATGTGAGACTTTCATATTAATTTTGTGTGTGTGTGTGTGTGTGTGTGCTTGACCTCCGGGTGGATATTCACAAGCTTCCAGGTCTTGTTGGTGCTTAGACCTTGCTCAGGTTGTAGGCCGATTCACATTTGGGAGCCTTCAAAACTCCAGGCTCCTGAAACAAGGGTCAGGATGCAGTAGATTTTAGCCGTGCATTGTCAGAGAGCCTTTTCCGTCAATGGATGGAAGCTGGTTGTGTGGATTCGCCCTTAGGCCGCCAGCCCACAAATCCCTTCATCTCTCAAATGCAAGTTAAACAAGTGTGGTTAATTCGTGTCAGAAGACATTTCTTCTGGAGGCATTTCAGGTGGTAGGGGGTCACTTGTATAGGACTTGTATCAGTCTCATGCACACAATTCCCACTGAAGCGTTCATATACATCACCAAGGCATTCAGAGCACCGCTGCCCGAAATCGGTTCTGCCAGCTGTGCATTTCTGGGGCTTATTAGGAGGCGGGGAGGCCTCTGCCAGCTGCTGGTGCACTGTCATTGGTCAGTCCAGCTCTCTTCTCCCGCACCTCTTAGGCACTGGCTTCATTCAGATGAGTGGAGCTGTTGTTGCTCCTGCTGGATTTTACTCCTTTTGCCCAAAGCTGGATATAGCATTCGTGCCTTGGCATTCGGTTATTGTCAGAATTGTGTGGAAACTCTGCAAAAAAAAGAGGAAAATTAAAATCCTGTACCGAGTGGCTGTGCACCAGTCCATATAATTTAAGAACATAAGAACATAAGAGATGCCAATGTTGGATCAGGCCAAAGGCTCATCTAGTCCAACACTCTGTATCACACAGTGGTCAGAAATACCAGTGCCATCAGGAGGTCCACCAGTGGGGCCAGGACATTAGAAGCCCTCCCACTGTTGACCCCCCCCCCCAAGCACCAAGATGACAGCATCACTTGCCCCAGAGTCCCTATCTATACCTTGTGGCTAATAGCCACTGATGGACCTCTGCTCCATATGCTTATCTAATTCCCTTTTGAAGCTGTCCATGCTTGTAGCCGCCACCACTTCCTGTGGCAGTGAATTCCATGTGTCAATCACTCTTTGGGTGAAGAAGTACTTCCTTTTATCCGTTCTAACCCGACCGCTCAGCAATTTCATGGAGTGCCCACGAGTTCTTGTATTGTGAGAAAGGGAGAAAAGCACCTCTTTCTCTACCTGCTCTTTCCCATGCATAATCTTATAAACCTCAATCATGTCACCCCTCAGTCGTCGTTTCTCCAAGCTAAAGAGCCCTAAGCGCCTTAACCTTTCCTCATAGGGAAAGTGTTCCAACCCTTTTATCATTCGAGTTGCCCTTTTCTGTCATTAATTTAAATCCCGCTTTTCTCCCCACTGGAGGCCCAAAAAAACTCATCATTCCCTCCTCCAGTTTATCCTCACAACAACTTTGCGGGTAGGTTAGGCAGAGTGTGTGTGACTGGTACAAGGTCAGCCAGCAAACTCCCATTGGTTCCAGTGAACAAATGGGTACACTGTCTCCCATTTTTGCATTATTCTACAGTCTTGAATTCGGCATACTTCATTCTGCCTTTGCTGGGTGGGCTGTGGAGCCAACACAGTGTGGTGGAACCCCACCCATTGGAAATCTCATTTTGCTGCCTCGTTTGGCTTCTCGGGCTTCACCAGGAGCCACCCACACACTTTCAGGCACTCATCATTCCCTCCTCCAGTTTATCCTCACAACAACTTTGCGGGTAGGTTAGGCAGAGTGTGTGTGACTGGTCCAAGGTCAGCCAGCAAACTCCCATTCGTGCCAGTGAACAAATGGGTACACTGTCTCCCATTTTTGCATTATTCTGCAGTCTTGAATTCGGCATACTTCATTCTGCCTTTGCTGGGAGGGCTGTGGAGCCAACACATTGGAAATCTCATTTTGCTGCCTCGTTTGGCTTCTCGGGCTTCACCAGGAGCCACCCACACACTTTCAGGCACACGCATCTTCACACCCCTAATAGCCAGCTTCTCTCTTCCTCTCACCTCCCCCCAGCTCCTTTAGAGTCTCAAGAAACTATGCGCCTGATACCACACTGCCGCTGTGCATAATAATCCTTGACATTTTCAGAGCACTCTCAGATACCCAGAGCAGTTCATAGGTATCATTTGGGTGGTCATTCCAAAAGCCCCGTTCAGCATGTATTGTATACACAGGACTGGCTGTGGCTTTATGGAAATCAGCACTGACACATACTCAGACGCTTTCCCTGGAGAGGCACGCTAACGTCTTCCTCTCCTCTTTCACCAGCAACAGCAATCATTCAGGTGGAAGACCAGAACACTGGTGCAATTGAAAACATTATAGTGGAAGTCAAGAAGGAGCCCGAAGCAGAGACTGTAGCAACTACAGCGGGAGCTCAGCCAGTGGTGGTGGAAGCGCCCAACGGAGACCTCACCCCAGAGATGATTCTCAGCATGATGGACCGGTGATGGAGGACGGGTTGTGCTTGGACTGAACTGGCCTGGGCTCTTTTTGAAGCAGCTCAATCCTCTTTTTTTTTTTGGCTGTTTTTTTGTTTATTTTGTTTCTTTTCACCTTTTCTCTCCCCCCCTGGCTTTGGGATATGCATCTTTTTAGACCATTTTACCAAACAACCCGGGACACAAAACTTCAAATGATGTTAGAAAAAGTGATTTATTATTATTATTATTATTTTGCCTAGAACTCTGTTTAATGTTAGCATAACAGGATCATGGAACAAGGGGGCGGGGTTTTTTCAGTCCCCACGGGTCTCCGACGGTTGCTCGATCCGGTTAGATCCGAACTGCATCGTGGCGGGGGGGGGCACGGACAGCCCTCGTGCCCAGAGATGGGAAAGACGGAAGCAGCGAGTCCTCGAACCCACGCAAACTGCTCTGGATCTGCACGTGCGTTCCTCGATGCCCTCTGGCCTCGTCTTTTGCGCTCTAGAGGTTTTTAACTGTAACTGCAGACTAGGGAGGGTTGTGAAACTTTTTATTGCGTTTTGGTTTTGCTTCCCCAGCCCTCTCCTACCGACCCTCCACTGACTGGTTCTGCCTCAGCACCATAGATTCGGCATGCTCCACCTCTCGTCTCTCCTCTCCGATGCTTTGCTGTCTGCAGGGCATCACTGTAATGATTAAGCGTGTGTAAATAACTTTTTTACATTTTAATCTTTTTTCCATTTAATTAAGAGGGGTTTTGGGAGGGAGGGGGAAAGGCAATCTAAACCAACCAGAAACCCTTTCGTTTTAAACAATTGTGAATGGAATTATGCAGGAAGGAATCAGTAACAGGTTGACTATTGGACCCTATCAAGTTTAACAGAAGATCACGACCCAGGCTTCGTTTTGTAAGATGGTGGAAATCCAGACCCCCCCCCAACTCGGTTTCTGAGCACATGGACTTAGAAGTGAAACTTGTCACTTAAAAACTACCTTTTTGAGTTTCAGATTTTCACAGATCCCGTTTCCTTTCCTCCGTTTTGTGTTTATAAATTCTGTGTCAAAAGCTGAGGTGGTGGTGGTTTGTAACAGGGCCTCCCAGCCCCTGAAACCTAGGCCAGAGAATTCTACTAGGTCAGTAAAGATAAAATTTGGGGGTCTTTAATTATAAGAGAGAGAGGAGGGGCGGGGAAGAATAATGTGAAATACAAATGATGCCTGTATATGAACCGTCACATGTTAAAAAAGTATGTAAGCTTTTTATAGAGCCTCAGTCTTGCTGATTTCAAAAAGAATTTTCTTCTATGTATTGCTTTTAAAAGAGCTATCAGGTTAGCTATCCGACTCTAGGTTGATGCATTTTTGTACTTAGCTGTACTGTGTGATATTTTTCATTATTTTAGGAAACCAACATGAGATAAAAAAAATGTTATAAAATACATAATGGGGTTTGGACTCGGGGAAGGAGAATATACTGCTGTACAGCTAATAAATAATAATGAATTAACCTGTGTGCCTGCTTTCTTGGAACCTTGATAATTGGCGGTATACGGGGGTGGGGGGGGGAGATACATGTTTGGCATCTTTGGGTTTGCTGGGAAGACATTAAGAGGGAATAGCTCGGTGATGCACCCCAGCTTCATGCTGCTTGTGTGATGATCTATTGGGAGTCTTTTTGGACAGCCTCTGTACTTAATTGCACATGAAGTGACCTTTCCTGTATTATCGTGTGTTCCTCTCTCCCACAAAATATGCATTGGGTTCTACTGCAGATAGAGGCCATGCAAGAGATGTTCCCTTTATCACAGATGACACACGCCAAAGTCATAACCTCAAGTGGATGCATGCCGGGTGTCCATCCGTCCCCCCCGTCGTCCCCCCGCTTGTAATAATAAAGCAGCCGTTACGCTGTGCTTTTTGTACACTCCAATTAACTTTGTTTCTTTCGCTTGCTTTATCATGGTTTTTTGTGGGTATTTTGTGTGTGTGTTTGTATGCCTGGAAGTCATGGGGCTTGGACATTTTCAGAGCGGTGGCTTACTATTGCCTACCTCTGCATCCCAACCGTGGTATTCCTTGGAGGTCTGCCTTCCAGGTACTTGTCTGAGTCGGCCCTGCTCAGCTTCCAAGATCAGGCTTGCCTGGCCTATCCAGGTCAGGGCCTTTTGTTTAAGGGTAAAGCTGCAAAAAAAGTTGAAAATCTCGGATGTTACCTGGTCACCGCTGCAGCCTCCTCTGCTAACTCTGGAAGCAGACGTGTGCCAGTCAGCCCTAGTGGTGGTGGTGCTTCTTGCCCCTTCTTGCAGCTCAAAATTCCTTTTTGTCCTCTCTCTGGAGGCCTGCATAGATGGGATGTTGTCTCTGGACAACATATTTCTGTCCCTCTTGCCTCCCCGTGTTTTATTCTTGGTATTTCCCCCCAGAATTAACAACAAACCATTCCAAGGTACCACACTATCGATGTGGCGGAGGGTTTTTTTGTTGTTCAGTCGCACAGTCGAGTCCCCATGGACCAGCTCCCGCCAGGCCTTCCTGTCTTCCACCGTCCTCTGAAGTTGGCTCAATTTCATGTTCGTTGCATGTATGACACTGTCTAACCATCTCATCCTTTGCCGTCCCCGTCTTCTTTGCCCTTCAATCTTTCCCAGCATCAGGGTCTTCTCCAGTGAGTGCTCCCTTCTCATTTGGTGGCCAAAGTATTTGAGCTTCAGTTTCATTATCTGGCTTTCCAGGGAACAGTCAGGGTTGATTTCTTTTAGGGTTGACTGATTTGATCTTCTTGCAGTCCAAGGGACTCTCAAGAGTCTTCTCCAGCACCATAGTTCAAAAGAATCTATTCTTCGGCGCTCGGCCTTCCTTATAGTCCAACTCTTGCAGCCATATATGACTACTGGGAATACCATTGCTTTGACCATGCGAACTTTTGTTGGCAGGGTGATGTCTCTACTTTTTATCATGCTGTTTAGGTTCACCATCGCTTTCCTCCCAAGGAGCAGGCATCTTTTAATTTCATGGCTGCTGTCACAGTCTGCGGTGATCTGGGATCCCAGGGACGTGAAGTCTGTCACTACTTCCACGACTTCCCCTTCTATGTGCCAAGGAGTGATGGGTCCGGATGCCATGATCTTCGTTTTTTTGATGTTGAGCTTCAAGCCCACTTTTGCGCTCTCCTCTTTTACCCTGAGAAAGAGGCTCTTGAGGTCCTCTTCACTTTCTGCCATTAGAGTGGTATCGTCTGCATATCTGAGGTTGTTGATCTTTTCCCCAGCAATCTTAATTCCCGCTTGTGATTCATCCAGGCCAGCATTTCGCATGATGTACTCTTGCATATAGAACTAGCGCTGGCAAGAACGGGGGAAGGTCTTAGGAAATGGCCCTGTTGTAAGGGAAGCGGCTAGCTTTGCTGCCATTCTGCCCTTCATGTTTCATGGACCCTTTTCCTAATTGCTGGGATTTTTATGTGTTATCCTGCTAACATCTTAGGACAGCCAGTATAACCATCAGGAGATATTTTTGGACTTTTAACACTAAAGACTTGCTTGGGATGAATCACCACAGATTATGGGTAGGGGGTGCATTTTTTCCCAGTGTTTAATCCTAACACATGGAAAATGTTCTGTGTGCAAAATTTCAAGAAGTAAGGTTCTAAGTAGCATTCTGACATGATAACCTAGTAGAAAAGATTATGTTCTGAAGGGAATCAGGATCGATCGTGTCTCCTGGATGCTTGTACTGGCCGTGTACGCACAAACAGATAAGCTTGATTCAGGACCTTGCCTCCTTTTTCTTGCTTAATTTGATTGTAGCTCTAGAGGTGTGAATGGTGGGTGAATGTAAAAAGGCTGGGGGGGGATTTGTTTTTAATGTGGAGGAACTGTTACGAATGCTTTCAAGCTGCAAGGAGTGTTAAAGAGGTGAGGCTGGGGGATTAAACAAGGGATGGAGACAAAGTTATTTTTTATAACTTTATTTTTAATAATTTTCTTAATACAACAACCATAATAAACAAACCATAAGTATGAAATGCATATACATATTCAACACTTTAATTTTTTCATTAATAAAATACAAAATCAACGTATTTTGCGGGTAGCACAGTCATATTATCTTTAACATTATTTATATAATTTAAACCATTTTTACAAAAACATTGTTTTCCTTTCTGGATATTCAAGCTCCAACAGCTGTGTTGCTATTTTGTCCATAGCTACTATGTCCCATACCTTAGCGAACCACTGTTGGACGTTGGGTATCCTCTCTCATTTCCAAACCTGAGCAATTAATGTTTTAGCTGCAATCAGCATTAAGGATAATATTTCTTCAGTTGTTTGAGAAAAAGTTCCTTTATCCCAATGATTCAACAAAATCACTTCAGGAGTAAATGGGACGTCTATTCCCAAAATACTTTCAATTTTTGCAATAATTAAATTCCAAAACGCCT